TAATGAGTCGACTTGAAGAGTAATTTTCTTATTTGGGTCAAAGTAAGAAAGTATTGGACCAGGGCTTTGTGTAATATTGCTTTTAACCTGTAGGGCCTTGTTTGGGGGTGCATCCCAGCTAAAATCTACATCTTTAGATAGAAGCTGTCTCGTGGGTGCAGTAATTTCTGAGAGATTGGGTGCAAATCTCTGTAAGTATGTGACCATGACTAGAACTGTTTGCAATTCTTGTTTAAAAGTAGGAAATATCATCTCTGCTATGGCCTTGACCTTTGCATGATCTATTTTTAAGCCTTGATCAGTAATTAAGTGGTCAAAGAAAGGTAACATTGTTTTCCCTATTTCCGTTTTGTCGGGATTGAGCTTGATGACTATTAATTAACATCTTCTCAAGAGTCTGTCCAGATTTTCGTCATGTTCTGCTCTATATTTGCCGTAAACAACAATGTCATCGACAATATAAATTCAATGTTTAATTTATTCTTGGGGATACATTCAGTGTCAAATCAATTATTGTTTTTAATCCTGGCAAATTTTCCAGAATATTTTCCATTTTTGTACACAATGCATCATTTGCATTCTTAAGATCATATGGAGGTCTTAGTAATCTGTATCTTGCAAAACAACAAAATAAGAAGACTTTTCTGTTAGTTGGATAGACCAATTACCACGACATGCATCTAATTTTGAAAACACAGTAACATTTGATAAGTCGGGCAATATGTCGTCGATAGTCCTATTAGGATAATGGGGTCTTTCGGATCTAAGTATAACCGTAAAGAGCCATTAGGTTTTTCTACTACAACTAGACTATTAACCCAGTCTGTAGGTTCTGTTACTTTCTTAATAATACCTAAGCTTTCCATTCTGTCAAGCTCTATTTTAAGTTTGTCACGAATGGCAATAGGAACTCTGCGCAGAGGGTGAACTACTGGTGTGACATTGTTACGCAAAAGTATTTCAAATTCCCCTGGCAGTTTTCCTATTCCGTTAAAAACATCCAAGTATGTATTGAACAGTTGCTCCTTTGTAATAGGCACGGTGGCGGCATTAGACAGTACTAACGTGATTAAGTTTAATTTAAGGCATGTTTGAAGACCTAGAATGGGGCTTGAATGTGTATGTACTATGTAAAACTCTTCTGTAGAGATTTGACCTTTATATGTACAAGGAAGATTGATACAACCATTGACTTTGAGAGGCTGACCATTGTATACGGTTAATTGCTTTTGTGTTGGAAGTACGGGACCTTATTTGCCTAATAATCTGATTATTGACCTTGGAAGAACATTGACCAAATTTAATATTAAGTAATGTTGAGCAGACTTTGACCTTGGCAAATGCCTGATTTGTTGTGCTGTCTTGCTCAACTGTATAAACATACATGTCATTATCATGAGGGGGTAGGGAATAATCAAGTCATTTGTGTTACAATTTGTTACCTCATTTACATTTTTGCTTCCTAAATCCTGTTTTCTTTTCCTACACACTTTTGCGAAATGATAAATCTTTGTACAGTATAAACACTTTTGACCATTGGCTGGACATGTACGTTTTAAATGGTAAGTCCCACAGTTATTACAGTTATTTTTATTTACAGTAAAAACTCGTTCATTGGTTCTAGAGCTGTGTTTGCTGCCATCTGTCTTCCTGCTTTGCGTCCGAAACTTCTTAAATGGTGTTGCTGCTGCTGTTGCTGCTGAGGATTTCTTGACTGCATTGATGATTGGGCTTGGCCGCTTAAATGCCTTAGCTGTGACTGACTTAATGCATAAGTGCGAGACAAGTCAATACATTTTTCAAGTGCCAAGTTTGATCCTTCATTGATGAGTTTCTCTCTTATCTGGTGGGAACGTACACCAAATACAATGTGATCACGTATCATTTCGCTTTGTATCTCATCTGCATAGCCACAGTCCTTGCATAGCCACAGTCCTTTATTAATAATTTTAACTCTGTGACGAACTCTTCAAAGGTCTCTCCAGGATTTAAACTTACACCTAGAGTATATGTGCTTCACTATGGGCGCACAATATGTTTCAAAATCTTCATAGTATGTTTGAAGGAGTTTTCTTTGATCAGCAGTAATTGTCCAGGTTGAAAAATTTGGCCACCCTTCTCACCAACCCATAGCATTAAAAAGTTGCACTTAGCTTCCTCTGTTTTCTTTTCTACTGGCCCTCCAAACATAAAGTCACAATGTTCTTTAAACTTCTTAAATGCATTTGTATGTTTTCATTTAAAATTAAATCCTGTTTTCATTTAAAATTAAATCCTAACTCACTCGTTTCGTTGATGTAAACTCTACCATAAAGATTATCTTGATTTTGGAAACATTTTATTCATTCATGATGATCAAAATATGTGAGGAAAGCAGCAAGGATCGGACGGGTTTCGAATGCAAGTAAAATAGGCATTGTGCTGTCTTCGCGTGTGCTCAAGGTGTTCCAGATCTATTCTTAACACGAACACGTTTTTAATTTAAACGATGATATAAGTAATACAAAAAATGAGTAGAATAATACTTACCAAATAATTTTGTTACAATGGTACGATTCCTCTCATACTAATCGGTTAAATCTATCTATATTGTCGGGTTTTAGCAGAAATTTTACTATTCCAATTGCTTCTGAAGGTTGCGGCTTTTACCAGGGATCACATTTTATGACTATCTCTTGTCACTTTTCCGACTCTGTGAAAACGGACCAGCAAAGGTGATATAAGTTTGACGTGGCGCCATATTCGCAAAATTAACAAAGCAATAAAAGACGGACGTAATGTTAGTGTAGGTGAACACATCTGCAAATGTTTCTAAATTTAGAATTTCACTATTTCATGTTTAAATTTTGAATTCTGCTTAAGCCGGTGCTAGGGGGCGTGGACGGTCGTTTGCACTTGACAGTTCCGTCCATGAACAGGCTCAATCAAACCGAGCCTGCAACATTTTCAATTATGTTGTGTTGAACTTTCTTTAGGGATTCTTATTTTCTCTATTCTGTTGCAGAAGTACGTCAATGAAAAATTAGTAATTTTTAGTGTTTTGGGCATGTGATACAGGGGAGGTTCACATAATATAATTGTATTCAGCCCGTTCGATATAATCAGTATGGACTTACAAATGGCCTTTTTATTTTCGTCGAACATATACGTTCTAGAAAAGCATAGAATAGACAACTCTAAAAAAAGGTTTTGCAAACACTTCATTCGCGCTTATCTCATTAGGGAGAGCATCGGATTTGTAATCCAGATGTCGTTGGTTCGATTCTGTGACCAGGCGAAATTTCTCCGTGACAAATGTTCTTGGTCATTGAGTCATATGGTAATTTGTCTCTCACCTCTATTTTGCGCAGAAATTAGTTATCTTATATATCGATTAAGTGGACAAACCGCCGAGATATCACTAAAAATGTGTTAAAATCGGCCTGAAAACCGAAATAAACAAACATGTATAGATATTATATGTACAACGCTGCACGTAATTATTGATTTCGAATGACGAGAGACAACGTTTTATTTTTTTTAATGGAATTTACGATGTTATCTCCCTTTGATTATGAAAATATGCGCAAAAGTTGTTCATGAGTAACTGTAAGACATTTATCCTCATCAAATTTAACAGCAAAAACAAAGTTAACAAATTGCCAAAAAAGTAATAAAAATGTTTCATAACCGAATAATTAATAATTATAATAATAATCGTCGAAAGACTGCCATGTTAGATAAGAAGAGACATCGTCTAGCTCGACTTTTAAAGACCAACACATCAGAGCAAAGTGAACGCACACCTATAAAGTTACTTTCATATTTGACCTTGAAGGTGAAACATGTAGTATATGCTCTGACGATTGGCTGGATCAAATATTCTATAAGTAGATTGCATTCATCTCCATTTGTAATCCTGACACACTTAGCGTTTGATGCATACATTGGCGTTTATCTAAAAAAACAAACGGCATGAACAGGAAAAAGCAGCAGAAACATACACAAATCGTAAAAGCGCCCATTATGGCCTTGTCCTGCTTTAATGAATTCAGTATCAAACTTAAAACAAATATATTGTATATAATATATTTAAAACATATTTTTGAGTTAAATGAATGGAACTGATCTGGTGTTTTTTCTTTAATATTTTAGTGCGTTTTTATTTACTTTGCAAACAATATGAAAATAAAATATCCAATAAAATGGTATTATACTTTGAGATTTATTATATTTCATACACGTACATTCTTTGCTATATAGGAAATATTTACACTTGATTACATTTGTATGTCTATACAATCATGTTATTGGTATGTTTCAGTAACTTATTTATCTAATAATGCATCTAAAAAACCATTTAAAATGACTGCAAAAAACAACAACAATTAAACAAAGCATAACAAAAGCAACAACTTGTTATTTATATAAGAAAGGTACTGGTTTTATGTCAGCCACGTTTCGTTCTCCTATTCGTTACCCTATTAGGCGCCACTGTGGTGGCGCTGTTTACCTGAAACATGTCACCTATGAATTGCTATTAATTTCTTATTTCATTGACTTTCTATGGAGTTTCTTTTTAAACTATCCCCAAACACAGGCGATTAATTACAGCACTAATCTCTTATATTTGTAAAAAGCTCCAATTATATAAACATCAATTTTTATGTTTTAAGTATTTCTATTTCAAATTAGAATGCTAAGTTAATACAAAAATATATATAATTGTTACACTTATGTACAGTGTGAAAAAATAGTGTTAAAAAAAGTTAGTGCTTTTATATAGAAACAAAAGTACTTTGAAGTATATGTAATTATAAAGTGTAGATTATTTTCTTATATGTGTAGCAAATGGAAAAGATGTGTCATTAGAAAAGATGACACTTTCTATCTCGAATAGTTTAATCATCTATTGAAAAGAGGTTTGTACAAAAAATATGTTCTTATTCTTTTTCTTATTCTCAAAATTTTAATTTGTTCATATCTTTAAATTAAAATGCAATAAAGTTTTAAAAATGTTATGCTTGTCTTTTTATTGTTTCATTTAAATCCTTTGCAATCATTGATTCCAATACTTTAAGAATTTAAGACTGAACATTACTAGAGCCGATTGAAAAAAGAAGCGTGATTTGTGTTGTCCTTACTCTTGCTGATATCCTTCTGTTTCCATCAAACCATGTTTGCGACTTTTGATCTATTATAGATGTTTTAAATGCTTTTTGGGGATAACACCCTTTACAATTGATTTAGAATTTACATTTCACTAAAAGTAACACTAAATACTAGCGTACCACTTGCTTAGAATCAGAGACACAACCTATAACCTGCTGAATTTCTTGCATGGACATTTTCGGTCTCCGATTTTTAGAACTGTCCAATATCTATATCGAGATGAACATTACATAGTCAGTCAACGATTTAAAGCCTGGTCGTCATTCACGGATGTACAGACGTTTTGCTTGTGTCAAAGGCTACCTTCGGATAGTAAAGGTTTACCAACATCTGATAAACGACGGTTTTGCATCCGACCATAGCGAAGAATTTGTTTAAATCATATAATTAATACAAGTATGCCCTCCAATCTACATGTGCGAACTCCTTTCAGAATTTGATACTTTTAACTAGTCGCTAATGATTTTTGAATATTTATACAGTACAAATCATTGTATTGCAAAGATAATTTAAGATGTTTGGAACCTTTCATTTACAATGGAAATTGTTAGTCCAAATAAACACAACAGAGATGAATTCCGGCAAATTGGCAATGCCTCTTCCAACGCTACCACTGAAAATTATCATTCTGAAAGTGTCTTCTCGGGATATTTTGTGTCGCAGATGAAGTTATAATACAAATGATGTATTATCTCTTGATGAGCTGTCGTTTTCTATAGACGCTGAGTCGCTTCGGATAAAGTCTCATATCCATCTCGGTCGCAACAGAATTTTAAGCAAGAAATTAAGCCTATTATAAGGAAAATACACCCTGCAATCACACAAGGTAGAAGGAGTAGCCTAATTGTGCACCTGAGAACTTCGTTGCAACGACAATACACCCACTTATATTTAATATACCTGAAATATATATTATTTATAATCCTAATTGAATGACCAGACATGCACTACATAATACTTAGTGATAGTAAAACCTCAGACGAACATAAATAGCAAGATGGTTTTTGTAACATGGTGGTATTTTCAAGCTCAAACATTAGCCAGCTAAACAAAAGTTACCAAAAAGATTACTAACATATTCATTCTTACAGGGCCACTACCCAAACTCGGTTATGACCTTGGAATTGACTCTGAAAATCCATAAATAATTTTGCAGTAATATATCAAACCGCACTACTGTAGATCGATGTCATAACCTTAATTGCAATCGCAAAAGATACTCCGAATTAGAGCACTTTAAATTGTAATACTGAGATTTATTGATTGTGTAACAGAAAGAAATCTAAAAACGTGTAAATTAAAATACTGAATAAGAGAATATGTTACACAAAATATTATTTATTTTAAAATATACCCGAAATCGACAGCAGCAAGCCTCCAAAGAATATAACTAGACAACCAATTATTGTGTCGCAAAAAACCTGCAGTTTTCTAGTCACCTCACTATTTGTTTCCGGGTCGCATTTGTTAAATAAACCACGTGCACAAGATATTCCAATGAAAAACACCAATAATCCAATCACCATCAATGCAAACGAAGAAATTTGTAAACCTCGTGCTGACGTGTCCAGTTCTAAAAGAAAACATATGTTGTCGATTAGTATTGAGTTTTCAATTGTTTTATGACAACAAAATGCGCATTTTATGGTTTATTACTGAATGCTAATAAGTTCAGCATAATTTCATTAAAAAAAGTATTTTAAGCTCTTGATACTTTAATACTAAATGATGGACTGACCATGACCATAGCCATGTATTTTCGAATGTACATGTAATATATCAATAACCATACCCATGAATAGTTCATATCTAATATAACCATAATCATAACCATGCATTTTTATTCTTATCTAATATTACCATAGCTATAGTCATGCATTTTTATATCTAATATAACCATATCCATAGTTAGGCATTTTCTTATCAAACATAGCCATAACTTTGTAAGTGATGCAAGTTCTTATCTAATATAACCATATCAATGCATTTTTTCTGACCGAGACAGGACGGACGATATGGGGATATGGGACAAAGAGATTCATATAGCGCCTTGTGCATGGTGCTGGTACATACCATCCTCTCTATGCGAAGGTCTGCAAGTATTGTTTTCAGGTCCACCGAAGCAACTGTACAATAGACCAACAGCGTCACATGTTTCGGTTGAAATCCACTTTGGTGTAAACAAACCAACAGTTTGAAAAATGAACGGACTGGCATAAAGGCAACCTATGCAAACTAGTTTACAGAATTTAGAACTCATTGTGATAGCTGGTTGATCTTCAAACATGTCTGTAAACATAGATATTAAACATTTTGTACATATTTAAACGTTGTAGATAACTAGAGTAGTATTTTCGTTCGAATAGTAATTTATTCAAGGCGATATTTGCAGGCACAAATAAATAAGTATGATTTTGTGTTCTGGTCTAAACTGATGCTCATATTTATTTTTACTATTTTTCATACTCGTATGTAAATGATACATACTCGTAGAAGGCTTTTCATGAGGGTGCAGCATGTGTCTTTTTCGGTCGGGTAGTGTCTTTTTAGATGTGTTTTACATTCATAGGACCGTGCTCTTCATGTTATTAAGTCACGTTATGCCGCACTGCACATCTTATCTACCAGTTTGTAATAATGTATATATTTAAGCCATCAGTTTTATTGATCCTAACTCTACAGATATGATTGTTAAAATAGAAATAATCTCCAATAATATATGTATATAAAACTAACAATTTCTAAATTTATATAACGGATTGTCTTAAATTTAAAACATTTATTTATTACTGATCAAAATACGCGAGTCAAGCAGCAAACAGTTTAGAGTCGGATCGGACGGCATTACAAACCGTATATAACATGTATAAACACTGTACATTCTCCGTTGATCGAGATAAATTTTAGACACTTACATGAGGTTAATTTAAACGATGGCATCAAAATACAAAAAGGGAGAAAAGATTAACACTTACCAAATTAATTTTGAAACACATGTATATTCCTCCTATACAAATAAGTTGAATATGCTTGATACATGTACAAATACTTTACTGAAACAAAATCGTTTCGTAATTGTATCCAAAATAGCAACGATACGTTTCAATGTCATTTCATGAAATAAGTGAAGCTTAATATACTTCCTTGTTGATCAGATATTGTGAAACCAATACGCATTGGGTATTGATTTAAAGCCCAATAATGCCTGAAAACGATTGCATATTTATTTTATAAAACCTTTTTTATTTTTGCTGTCCTGTTATATTTTCATAAAAGCTAAAAAGCCATTTACCTGAACCATGTTTTACTTCCTGTACTTTTAAGCAACTAGTACAGATAAAATGGTTATGATGGATGTCAAAATACTATTTGCATTTTGCTACGCTTTTGACAAATATTTTCACTTTTAGCGATTCTTTCTTTTGGTAAGAATTAAGCAGTTGATATGCCCTAAAACATATATTTAAATATTGTAAAACTCATATGAGTGTTGTTTTTTTTAAGAGGGGACAATATTCGTTTCCATGAGGTTTGAAATTTAAATGCTTTTTATAAAGCAATTAAATCTGCGCGTCAAGTTATAATTGTCGGAGCAGCAGTTTCTTTTTTATTTAAGCAATTGTTACCACAGGTACTTTGGTTCATGTGGTCATGTTAGTCTATTTCTAAATCGCATTCATATATCTAAATAGTTCAACAAGTCCTATATCTGATATTTTAGCATATTTATACTACTTAGTTTTATATCTATACGACTTAAATTTATATTTCATGCAATTTTAAATGTCAACTCTCGTAGGTAGGAACTTTGATCTTTGATATAAACCCTTCAACTCGATTTTTTCTCTATTTTTGTTGTTGTCTTTTTATCCTTTTCTGTATATTTTTCTTTTCTTTTATTTTTCCTGTTTTGCTTCTTTTTCAATTAATTTAAAGTACATTGCTGTAATCTGAACAACTGAATATTTGGAATTGATATAACTTGAATTTTTAAAAAAAAATGTTATTTGTTTTATTTGTTTTATTTTTTTTTCAATATGAATGTTGCTATAAAAAGGTAAAAATATGATAACTGAAGTATGATTATGATATAAGCTTTAGTTCGCGGATAATTATTCGGTTTAGGACTTATATATAGATAAAATGTGACAAGCGAACACTCCCAAATTGATATGAATTATCAATAGAAATAAGATAATGTCAAAATGAACTGCAATTTATTTTCGACTATAACCCTCATGAGCACAATGGCAAAGTTTTTGGTGGCATTCCAACTTGCCGTCACGTCCAGGTGGTTCACACTCCTATATGTAATCATGGCACATGCTTACTGAAATAGATATTCATTTAGATACAAAAAGTAATACTTATGGTGGCTGATTTGTGCCAATTCCTGTTTCGCCCCGCGACCCCCCAAGCGAAAAGTCGAGAATTAACGTTGTTTAAATGGCGGGGCGCGGAGCGAAAACACGCTAATTATGCGCTCCTGCTAATATAGAGCGTGTTTTCGCTCCTCGCTTCCGCCATTTTAACTGGTTAATTCTCGTCTTTTCTCTTGGAGGGGTCGCGGTGCGAAACCACTCATATTAGCGGGGTTTTAATTTATTATTAACTTTGCTCCGCGCACCCGCTAATAAGCGTTAATTCCCTCTATGCCCCCGCCGTTTTATTTCTTAGATCTCGGTTCGCGCCCTTGCTAATTAGCGTGTTTTCGCTCCGTTGTAAACAAACCAACAGTTTGAAGAATGAATGGACTGGCATAAAGGCAGGCTATGCAAACTTTATGCAGTTTACAGAAATGAGTACTCAATGTGATGGCTAGTGAATCTTCAAACATGTCCGTAAACAAAAATATATAAGAATTTGTACATAGCTTAGGCTCGCATAATATGATTTTATTCAACTCGTTCAATAAATTTAGTATTAAACGTACACTCATTCAATATCCTCTATTTACTTAATATTACGAGTATAAATCTTTACAGACTTAAGGAATTCGATGTTGACAAGTTAAAAGGGTGATCCCGACAATGTTTAAAAAAAACTTTTGACCGAACTCTATTGTATATTGTGTAGAAATGTTTATGTGTGTATATATGTAAATGCAATAAAATTTTATTTAACTTATTTTGTGGCAAACGAATGGAATTTCATTTTTATACACCTCTTTTTTGTTTTGTTTATCATACACGGTAGATAATTCTGCTTGCGTTTTTGTCGGCTGGGTAGTATCTTTTTCAAATGTTTGTTTCAGATCAAAACCTTGTGCCTTTCTTCTCAGGGTATTAGAAGTGACATAATGCTGCACGTATTACCTGCTTTGTAAAATTTGTATGTTTTCATTAAAAATTAAATCCTAACCCACTCGTTTCGTTGATGTAAACTCTACCATTAAGATTATCTTGAACTTGGAAACATTTAATTCATTCGTGATGATCAAAATATGTCCGTTTTATTTCTTAGATCTCGGTTCGCGCCCTTGCTAATTAGCGTGTTTTCGCTCCGTTTAACGTGGTAATTCTTGACTTTTCGCTTGGCGGGGTCACGGGGCGAAAACACGAATGACACAAATCGGCCACTCGTGAACAGCTTGGCAAAGAGCTCCAGGATGATGCGGTGGCTCAACTGTGCTCTGGAAAATTCCAGGTTATCCTGATCCGAAGGGTAAACTACCACAACCACCACCACCGGAATTATGTTCAGATTGTTGCATAAACAATGGAAATTGTTGGTAAAAACAACAATAACTAAACAAAAACAAATACAAACAAAAATAAGACAACTTTCGGCAATTTGTTTGACAATGCCTTTTCCAACGCTATCACTAAAAATAATCATCCTTAGAGATTTTTTTCTGGATATTTTGAATCACAGACGAAGTTATAACTCAAATGATGAATTATCTCTTGATGATTTGTCGTTTTCGATAGTTGCGGAGTCTTTCCGGTTAAATTTTTGTATCCATTTCGGTCGCAACAGAATGCCAAGCAAGAAATTATGCTCATTAGAATAAAAATACATCCTGCAATCACACAAAGGTAGAAGGAGTAGCCTAATTGTGCACTTGAGAACTGTGTTGCAACGACAATACACCCACATATATTTAATATACCTGAAAGATATGTTAATATAGTCTTTATTACCAGTCATGTCTTATATAATATTCGGACAATCATATATTGCAAGATGGTTTCTGAAACATGGTCGTATTTTCAAGGTCTAAACATTTGTCAGTTAAAAAAAGTTACCACAAAAATTTCTGACATATACATTCGGATAGTATTACTACCCAAGTACAATTATGAAGTAGGCACTGGCTTTGAAATTCCAGAAATAACGTAGCAACCGCACAATAATAGTTCATTTTCACAACCTCAATGTAATTACAATAGATACTCGTATAGTTTTTAATGCGGATATGATTTTTGCTTAAGTTGAGGGCCTTATATTGTAATATTGATCTTTATCTATCATGTTATAGAAAGGATGTTAAAAACGCGAAATTATCTGTAAATTGAAATATTACATCAGTGAACATGTGACACGAAATATAGTGTATTATAAAATATACCCGAAATCAACATCAACAAGGCTCCCAAAAATATAATTACACAGCCAAATAGTATGTCGCAACAGGCATGCAGTGTTCTATCGTACAATCTATCTCTTTCTGGTTTGCTTATTTTAAACAATCCACATGCACAAGGTATTCCAACGAAGAACATCAATAATCCAATTAGCATCATTACAAATGAAGAAATTTGTAAATCTCGTCCTGTCGTGTCCAGTCCTGAAAAAAAATATATTGCCGAGTTATGCGGACTTTTCCAACTTAGTGCATTGCATGATTTAAAACAAACAGCGTAGATATGTATAGCATCATATGATTGAAAATTGTACCTCTTAATACTTTAAAAAAAACAACAAGGGTACAATAACTGAAAATATGGACCTTGTTGTTATTTCTTAAATATTATATTTTTTTTATATATACATCTTTATAAATATGTGAAAGTTCAAGTGAACATTTCGTTTATTTTTCAGATATATTTAAGTTTTATTGGAAGATTTCAGAACAATATCTAAGTAAAGAAGTATTTATGTTTGTCAAAAATCATTGCAAAGTTATCGATGTTAGCATACAGAGCCTTAAATACATTCATGATTTAGTTCAATACATATTTTTGTTCAAAGTGTAGTACATGTAAATAAAGGAAGACTTCTTTGTCATTGTCCTGCTGATCTTGATTAGGATCTACACTATACATTTAAAGTATCAAATGACTAAAATTATCTGATCTGGTGTAATTACATGGTAAATATAAGAATATTTTCTATGTAAAATAGGGACATAATTTGTGTCAAAATTAAATTAAAAAATGAAGTTCTTAGCCTGCTGAGCTTACATTCAAATGTAAAATTTACAAATTATACCTGTTAGAACTGTCATATCCAATGCAATGCAAATTAAGACTTAAATTAGACAAAATAATAGATATGACTTTGTCAAATTGAAATCTTGACACGTTAATCTTGATACCTTTCATATGCATACTGTGCTGAACGACCTTCAAGGATCGAAAATATAACATCTTTGTACAGGAGATTTTTCTAACAGATATTATGTCTTGTCTGATATATCAAGGGAAGTGTAAATTTAGTTAAAGGGGTCAAAACCTAGGTTAAATGAATCAAAGAGTTACAATACTTAGCAGATGAACTTCGTTTGGAATGGTGTTTGTGCATACCGTCCTCTATTTGTGAAGGTCTGCAAGTATCGTTATCAGGTCCACCGCAGCAATAGTAGAATATACCAACAGAGTCACATGTGTCGTTTATAATCCAATTTGTTGTAAACAAACCAACAGTTTGAAGAATGAATGGACTGGCATAAAGGCAGGCTATGCAAACTTTATGCAGTTTACAGAAATGAGAACTCAATGTGATGGCTAGTGAATCTTCAAACATGTCTGTAAACATAAATATATAAGAATTTGTACTTAGCTTAGGCTCGCATAATATGATTTTATTCAACTCGATCAATAAATTTATAATTAAACGTACACTCATTCAATATCCTCTATTTACTATATATTACAAGTATAAATCTTTATAGACTTAAGGAATTCGATGTTGACAAGTTAAATGGGATGGTCCCGACAATGTTTCAACTCTATTGTATATTGTGTAGAAATGTTTATGTGTGTATAATTGTAAATGCAATAAAATTTTAGTGTCTTTTTCAAATGTTTGTTTCAGATCAAAACCTTGTGCCTTTCTTCTCAGGTATTAAGTGACATAATGCTGCACGTATAACCTGCTTTGTAAAATGTGTATGTTTTCATTTAAAATTAAATTCTAACCCACTCGTTTCGTTGATGTAAACTCTACCATAAAGATTATCTTGAACTTGGAAACAGTTTATTCATTTGTGATGATCAAAATATGTGGGTAAAGCAGCAATGATCGGACGGGTTTCGAATGCAAGTGAATAGGCACTGTGCTGTCTTCGCGTGTTCTCAAGGTGTTCCAGGTCTATTCTTAACACGAACACGTTGTTGATTTAAACGATGATACAAATAATACAAAAAATGAGTAGAATAATACTTACCGAATGATTTTGTTACAATGGTACGATTCCTCTCATACAAATCAGTTAAATATTCATACAAAAATGCACAAACACTTTAACTTAAACAAACTCGTTTCATATTTGTATCCAAATAGGAACGACGCGTTTCGGTAATTCATGCATTCTATCGTATAATAGAAGCTTTTTTACTGCATTGCAATATTGACCTGAGACTCATTAATTTTCGGAAACTCTTTCGTTAGTTTCCGTATTTTATTACGATTTACTTATCGATTCTCGATACTTTATTTTATGCTAACGTCCCGATGGCCTAGTGTTAAGTATGTAAGCATAGGTATCGCGAAGTTACAAGTTCGAATTTTCAACAATTTTCTTTTTTTCACATGACTGTCTTTAATTGTTCTTTTGTTGATTTTTTAGTTAAATGCAGCATTAGCGGATAAATCATTTCTTAAATTTCTTGTGTGTTTTCTCTAAAACAGATATAACTTTGATATATAAAAATGTTTATGTAAATTTTCATAATTTCAATTTGTAAAGACTTACAATGGGTGATTGGATAACACAAAAACTTAGTAGTAAAATTTCGCAAAATGTTTTATTAAGATTCGAACCTACAACCTTCAATTTGAAACCAATTATTTTAAATCCTTATCACTGGGGCGAGTTAGACAAGTTTTATGTCAGTACCTTTAAGTAAAACATAAACCATGTATACCGATATGCTATACTTTAAAATCCGTAAAACTACAATTACCAACAAAAGGTTATTGAAAAAACTTCCGTGTTGATCAGCTATTGTGGAACTTATACAAAATTGTCGGTGTGATAGTTTCTTATTTTACAAGCAAACGTTACTACAGGCACTTTTGTTCATAGGGTCATGCCAGTCCATTTCAAAATCGCGTTCATGTACCTATTTACTTGAACAAGTCTTATATCTGAACATTTAATAGCATATTAATACGACTCGTACAAATTTGATAACATTCGAAACTTCGGAAATTGGAGTATGGAAGTAAGAAACTTTGATATGAACTCCCCCTTTCAGTTTTTTTCTTTGGGTGAGGGGAGGATAGATGAAGGTGGGGTTGGGGTGGATGATGATTGCGTTTTTGCCATTTTTTGTCTTTTCCTTTTACAAAATATTTCTTGATTTAATTTGAATACTTACAGTGTGGAAAGATATCTTTACTACTTGAACGACTGAATGCTTGATGAATATATTGCTTGAAATTAATTAAATTTCCAATGATTATTGCTTTAGATTAGGTAAAAGATAAGGAACACTGATGTAAAATATAGGTTGTGGATTAGGGATAATAGTTCGGTTTGAAATAAGTTAAGGTTCAGTATTAATATAGATAACGTGTGACAGACGAACGCTCCCAAATTGTAATGCTCTGTCGTTAGTTATTGTCTACTTGAACAGAAGTGAATTTGGGGCAAAAAGGAAGACGAAGTCTATGAACTGCAATTAATTTTATCGACATTAATCATGAGCACATTGGCAAAGTTTGTGATGGCATTCCCAGTTGCCGTCACCTCCAGGTGGTCCACACTCCTTGACGTTGTTATGGGAGGCAACACAATCATCATCTTTATGGCACATGCTTACTGGAATATTCATTCAAATACACAAAAAAACAGTTAAAAGAAATGTTGCTTTATGCATTATTATATGAGGATCTTACACAATATATTTTTGAAATATGAACCCTCTTAAAAATATACTATAAGTTAACATATAGTATATTTTTAAGGAGGCTCATATTTCACTCTCTTTTTTTTACATATTTAAGATGAACAAAGGTTTTTTTGTATCAATGTGGTCATATTTTCTTCCCAAGTCCGATACATGTGGTTTACACATTTATAGTTACGAAATATTTTAGGCAGATAAAGATATTAACTCATTTACTTTGTGTTTTGACTTAGAAGTATAATGACTTAGATCTAATATTCTCACACAGGTTTTCTTATTGCGTAATTTAGATAAGCAAAATTACGCAGTGATTTTTCAAACACTTGTATATTTGTTTTAATTGAGTTTAACGTCGGACCGACACAGTAAAGGTCATATGGTGACGTTCCAGATTTACTGATGGTGCTCTTCCGTTCATTATTTCAGGCACGCACGGGTACATGAGAAGAACCATCGAGGTATAAAATTGTGCACTGGTAAGTGATATTTGAGATAATTGAAGTAAATAATTGCTTTAGAAATTTAGAGGAGGTGGTATGTATCAAGAGATCAAATGTGCGTTTTATAGACGATTTTAAAAGAATAGTTTCATCATTCAGAAGAACAAGACAATTATCGATCTGTTAACATACTAGTACATACCCGCATCAACTATGCATTTACAGTGCCCATCTAGACAGTGCATGATATTTCCGACCGGACAAGCTCCAAGAGGACAATCAGACCTTTGTGTGCATGTTGAAGATGGTATAGCCCCTAGCAAAATAATATATTGACTATTCATCATAATTCATCATAATAGATTTTGATCATCATACAAAATATCAAGACGACTTGAGATCTGTCATTATAATTAAACATTTCCGAGCTCGTTCGATATACTACGCTTTTATATATTTCGTTGCCAATCGGTCGTTTTCGTCAAATGTTACGACCAGCCATCATCATCAGCTACTTTGATATGAGAAAACTACCTGCTGTTCGCTATCAGTTTTTCTACTTGTTATAGGGTTTGTAAGCGAACAACAAGGATCCTGATCAGACTGCGCGAATGCGCAGGCTGGTCTGGATCCATGCTGGTCGCAAACCTATTATGTTGGTTTTGTCGTGACGCGGCTCATATACATTTGTATATCAACGTCATCATTTGAAGCAAAACAATAAGCAAAATACCCACCTGTGAGTGTCAGACATTTGCAGCGTGTGTCTAGGCAGTGGACAGCACTTCCGGCTGGACAAACATCTGCTGCGCAATGGCCAGAGTATACACAATTCTGAGAGTTCACTGTGTCTGCAATGTAAAAACAAACGACTCATCCCCAGCAAGTCATGGAGATCAGAACGGGGTTACAAATGGACTCAGCTGAGGTCGTTCTTACATAACTCGACGGTAAATATTTATTGGACATTTATTTAACATACATTGTATTTAGACCTGAACAAATAACTTAATTGTGTGCAAAATTTCAGATTATTCACTCAGTCCGAAGAAGAAGAAAGGACACAGAATTGAAGAAAAACATTTAAAAGCTTATCATTCAAATTGGACTTTAGTATATACGACTTCAAATCGAATTCTTAGTATATTTCTATATTATCTTGTGTATAAATAATTAGATTTCAAACACGTTATTGATGCACTATTAACAATTTCTAATTTTATGTTTCAGGCTTTTGAACCTCGGTGGAGTTCAACTAAACTCCTGGACCGGCAATAATTAGCCTTTGGGTCCAAAATTAAACCAGGCAAGCCGGCACGTCCGTGTAGTATGACGAGTCTCTACACTTAGACGACTGTTCAAAATTCAAAGCATCGTAAATTCATAACATGAATTAAACAGGAAAAGTTTTATAAGTAGTATAAAGAGTACTGTTGTAAAGTACGCCAGTACTATTTAATACACATGCCCATAGCATTTTGTATTCTAAAAGAATGGCACAATGACAAATATCTGGCATGACAAAATGCACGAGTTTCTTGTGTTGTCAGATATTTTAGTACACTTACATGTATATGGGTATTATTATTCATAGCATAAATAATATATTTTACCAATTTATCATAATTATAATAAATATAAAAAATACGAAACTTACCAAGCAAATAAATAAAAACTACCAGACACAACTTCATTTTAAATTATGAAGTTATTTTGGCACCACTTATTATGTAAATGTAACACAGTCATGTCCGTCCTTTTCTTATCTATCATATTATCTGCACGTTCACTGCATTATACTACAATAAGTGACACTATATCGCCTTTTAGGTGAGAAACAAATTTATGCTCTAATTCGTTACACTCAAACAAGCATAAATCATTTACATTATTTAATAATACTCCTTTGAATTAATAAACAACATAACTCAGAGACTGTCGAAACACGATTCGAGTCTTTTAACTAAAGTCAGCAATTCACAGTTGAAATCAATTTGTACCTGTGCTCCTTTCGACTTTACGACAGCTGGCTTCACTGTTGTTGTACCTGGCACTTTACAATTCTGTGAACTTGTTATCAAAATGATTTTGAAAATGAGATTTTATTTCCTCCAGCTCTAAATTTTCAGACATAATTCGAAGCTAATAGATTTAGATATTCTGCAAACAAAGATATCACACCTTTAGAAACGGCTTGACAAATAAACCTCGAATGCTAGCTTTACTAATTACAAGAAACTAGTGCACTATTGCCGCCAAAAACATAACTTCCGATTACTTCCTTATAAGGAATTACTAAGTTACGGTGTATGATTTTTTTCTTTTGTTGTTGATGATGTTGTATTTTATATATGTATATTATTGTGTGTTGTATTTTACACATAGTTCAGAAGGCCATAGATATGTGAATTGATATGTGATATGTGATATGTACGATGCTATTTCTACATACTTTACCATCTTTGTTTTAAGGCTATTATTGATGTGCTTTTGTGACGCAACGATTAAAGATAGTTGAGCAAAATGTACATATTCACTGTGTTATTTAAAACTAAATAATATGCCTATAATTAAAGGTGATTGTAAACGGGCATATATGTCATTATAATACAATGGTAGGATAATCAAACTTGGGTATTTGACGATGAAGTTCTTTAAAAGCTATATCTTTAACCAAATAAACCTAACAAAAATGTTCTTAATGTTTATTTTTATTTATTTTATTTTCATTTGCTATATCTAATCATAATCAGCTCTAATAAATAACGCTATGTAAGAAATATAGTGTAAAAAATTCTCTAAATTTCTCAACTAGAATGCTCAGCTTGCAAAGCAATCTAGCAGAGCATTCTGAAAGAAAGTGTAAAAATTGCACTTCTGTGCAAAACAATCTAGCGTGTCTTCATGAAATATAGTGTAAACAATGTTCTGCTGGAAAGCCAAGCTGGCAGAGCAATATAGCTGGTCTTTATGAAATAAAGTGTAAACAATGCTCAGCTGGAAGAGCAATCTAGCGGGTCTTTATGAAATATAGTGTAATAAATTATTTGAATGCTCAGCTTGCTTGAAAAGCAATCTAGCAGAGTATTCTATTCAATTCTGAAGGAAAGTATAAAAATTTGCTCTGCTAGAATGCCGAGGTTGCAAAACAATCTAGCGAGTCTTTTTTAAATATAGTGTAATAAAGCTCTGCTGGAATGCCAAGCTGGCAGAGCAATTTAGCGGGGCTTTCGGAAAGAAAGTGTAAAAATGCTCTTCTGGAATGCCGAGCTGGCATAGCAATCCAACGGGGCTTTCGGAAAGAAGCAGGACATTTTGATTTATAGTGAAAAACAATGTTCTAATCGAATGCTCTGCTGGCTTAGCAATCTAGCATGGCATTCTGATATATATAGTGTAAGAAATGTTCTGCTGGAATGCTGAAATTGCATAGCAATCTAGCTGAGCATTCCTAAACATAATGTAAGAAATTATCTAATGAAATGCTAAGCGGACAGGACAATTAGCAGGGTAATCCATTACATCGTGTTAAAAAATGTTCTGCTTTTAAATTTATGCTCATATACATGTATATCCATGACCACAAGACATGTACGCTTTTGATGGATATAACCCGTGTATTTTGTTATAACACGTGCACGATAATATCCATTAACAGAGTATTGTTCCAAAAGCAAATGCTGAATGATAAAGCGTTGATACAGAATTAAAAGTATACATTTAACATCCGAGGGACTGTCTAAAATAAATTGTAGACCCATTTATTCACTTCATCTAGTTAAGGTTTATCTGTGGCGCCGAGTTACATTTTGATAAGGTTTTATGGAGACACATGCTCTCTCTATATATTTCATAAGATAAGACTCTTTAAATCGTCCCATATTTTACACAAGAGAGTTTATCAGCAGTTGTAAACATGGATTCGTATCTCTTTACAGGTATAAATTTAAAATTTAATGATATATTTTGTTTGCAAACAAACATATTGATACTTATAGAGATTACACCTATATGTAGAACTGGCAAAACATGACTTTATTAAGAATTGAACGACCGAGCAATCAAGCAAGATTGCTAGTATGTTTGTTTGTTTGTTAATGTGTTTTTAATTGTGTGTTTTTGTTGTTGTCGGATTTTGTTGTTGTTGTTTTAATATTATCATGATCATGTCTTGTCTGGTTAGTTTTATTTAAAGTTTTCCTGTTATTCAATATATAGCGCACATAAACCTCTAATATTTACCACTTACAACAGCAGATATAGTGTTAAGTGCTGTGTGGACGACGTAAAAAGTCGCCCTATTTTATCTCAGTTCTGTTCACTTCCCTAGTTCTTCGGGATCATTGATTCCAATACTTTTTAGTTTCGATTAAGCCGGTGTTGTGGGGGTATATTGCACATAACACTATCTCTATTCAACAGATTTAATGATTCTGCAAATTCTTGCTTGCTTTGTTGTCATTCTTCCTTTCCAGATTTGTTCCCTTTTCCTTTTCTGTTTTTTTTTTCTTCTTTTATTTTCTCTTTTTTGTTTTGACCTGCAATTGGTCGTCAAGTTTGCGACGATATCGCGCGCATGCAACATTCGCTTTTCCTAAAATGTACATGAATTATTTTTTTTCCAATTTGTCGAGGTACGTTAAAATGTTTTCTTTTAATCAAAATACAAACAAGCTGCATACCAACTGAATCCAAAAGGTGCTTCATATATCCTTAAATGATAAATAATATATACTTATAATTTTTCATGTTTTTATCATTGTTTTTTCAGGGCTATGCATCCTGTCGTTTCCAGTATTAAGGTAACATTTTCTTATGATCAACAACTTACAAATAAAGCAAAATAGACACCACGTGGACAGTTCCTCCATTGTATAATATTGGCTGTTTCCCCCATTGATACTATCAAACTGATACAGACGGCACGACAAAATAACTGATTTCTACATCAAATCGTATTTTTTTTGTACAAAACTCCGAGTATCTGTTGCTTTTTTTATTTCATTGTGAAGATTGTTACGTTTGGTTTGTGTCCAAGGGCAATGGGCTTATAATTGTTCTTTAATTTTACAGCGATGCTTTAGCTGTTTATGGATTTCAAGGAGCGTCGTCTGCGATCTTAACCGGACGTACTTTGCATTATTCTGTACATCTCAATGACTGTGAATTGCTTGGTGGACCAAGAGCTGGCGCAGAATTTGAAGAAACATTTGGCGGCCATATTACAATATGGCGGTCGTTCAACGACCGTGACATTTCGGACGAACCTTTCCTTGTATTTTTCGATCAGAGAATGCTATTTGATGAAGCAGGTAAAATCTTTGAGGTTTTAAAATACTACATGTTCTCAAAACTACCGATTTGAATAAAAACTTTTTTGAAGATTTTTTAAAGAATTTTTTGAATGTATGCCCTGTATATGCAGATACTTCTTCTATGTAGATATTTAATTGCATCACAAAATACCTGTATTTACAACTAGATACTATGTGCATCAAGTAGAGATGAACCCCATATGGATCGCAAAATTAAGCATTGGTAAAACAATATATGTGAATTTCCGCTTATCCAGATGAACGCCAAATGTGAATGAGAAAGTAGGTAAATCACACAGGCCAATTTTTCAACTATAAAATTCAAAACCTTTTTTTAAGAAAATAGAAATTTATTTTCCCCTTCACATTTGGTGTTATAACACACATATGGATCAAGGGAAAATTAGATATATTTTTACCGATACTCAATTTTGGGGCATGATTTCACCCCTTGCATATGTGTTTCAGGAAAACTAGCACAGCTGGTGAGGGAAGTAGAGGTCTGGGGGAACGACACAGGCATTGTCAGGTCGGTGACCTACTCAACAGATTATTCCAAGGTCATCTCTGAGACAAGTCACAAGTGCTCATTGTCGTCTGCAAACAAATCGTATGTGAATTCTTAATTACTCTACATCTACACGTTTTTGTAAGTTCATCTAAGGTGTCTAAATTAAAAAAAGGAAAATGAACACCTTTGCATATTGAACCCAAAACGTATTACAGTCATAATATTATACTGTTTCGTCATCCATCTACAAGGGACACCACAATAATAGTACTTTGAAGTGTTCAAACAGAATGATAATAAAAACGCTATAGATGAATTCAAATTGTCGTCTGCAAGGTAAAAACGCACGTGCCTCATATCAGGTATCACCATGGTGATTGACATGTACATGTAGTTAATTGCTGCTTCTCGTCAACAATAGAAATGAACAGTTTATTATTTCAGGAATTTTACTTTCATTAACTTTATTTTATTCAGAGGAAATATAGATTTCCAAGCATCTGAAGGCACGCCAGATCGTTTAAACAGTTTCGAAGATGTACTCAGTGCCCTCGAAAGCGGCAGATACGTTCACTTCCAGGCTATGACGTTTATTTGTAGAGGAGGTCGAGAACACTCGTTCTCAAACTTTGGCGGCCATATTCCAAGTAAGACTTGAGTTCGTTATGTTTTTACAATTATCTTTCGCTGAAACTTGGTGCCAGTGTCCGTGTACGTGTATCACTCTGCATTTATGTATACATGTAAGTCTTTCATGTTTCTGAAAATTTTTACGTCTACATTGAGAAAACTGGGCCGAAACTGTTTATCTGGAATGAACGCTTACACTTGTGTTTGTTATACATGTATATTTGACATAAATTAGCTACATCACCAGGGAAGAGCAAATATAAATCACAATAGGCGTTAACGAATTCTGTAAATGTTCATTATTACTTCACTTTTTACATCGCCGCCTGGATTTCATTCGACATTGTCCGGAACATTTGGTTCACAGGCCGACCCTGACATTAGACAACCATTGCTCATTTGCCAAACACCGCTTACCCCTTCTACGCTAAATGGACTTGTCTATATTTCAATCTGGACAAGACAAGCCATCAGTTTATAGGATTATAGGAAATGTTACAAAACAAGTACTGAATGAGTGATGAACAGTGCAGACCATTATCAGGCAGTGTGGATATGTCGATCTCGGTCTACACTGGTCGTCTGGGTACATGTAGATTCAGTTTCTGCCGGCAGATTAAAGGTTATTTGATTTTCCAAGCCTAATGCCCCTTCCTAAGTACTGTTTAACTGATACAATTAAATAATTTCAGACTATGAAATGAAAATGGAAGGAGGTGCAGTTCACGGCGTGAGAAGTTCTGTGCAGCAGACGGTCCATTATGTCCCCAAAATTGATCGGCACGTGCGTGACGTCATCAATTTAAGAATATTCGACAATCGCACGGTTGAGATCATTGATGTCCGTGGGGGCGCTTTGTACGAGGATTTAGTGCACGAACATATTTCTTATTGTACATTGGAGACCGGCATGCCAGGTGGCACATTTAATGCGTTTGCTTCTTAAGCATTAATTGTAACATTCTGTAATGTGCTGAAATATATTGTCAAATGTTCATGAGGGAGTAAACTGAACTAGCAAGTTTGTTGTTTTGAAAGTTGACCAAAAGCAGTGACCTTGTATCTCAATTCATACAAGAGCTGAAAGTTGAACTGCAACAATACCAAACAGTGTACTTGACCGATTATGCCCTTATTTGGCCAGAAGCTTAAATGACAGTTGTAAGATCTTTTTTGGCTATTACATTAAAACACTAAAGTATGGTCGTGACCTGTCTTCTGACGTTCAAAGTACACTATTCCAAGACATATTTTTAAATGTTATCTTTTGTCCCAGTTTGTGTGTAGTCCGTTTGCACGCTTAGCACAACATGCATCAAAGGGTATAATATTTTACGAGCTAGTCACGTGTCTTACCATGATGGTTCGCTTTGTCATAATTATGTCCTACCTTACCGATTTGCTGTGTCACCTGTCTAACGATCATGATTCGCTTTGTCACATTTCTCATCGTGACAATTTTGAAAACGGGGTACTTTTTATATAAAAAATAAATTGATTTTGAATATATTTTATTATTTTGATACATTGAAAACCACACACATCAGTCAATGTAAAAGCTAAAGCTGCATGACACACAATACTGTGAAAATTCGGAAACTTTCGTAACTTTCCGTACGTTACAAGAATCGATATGACAAAGAGCAACATAAAATATTTGTTAAATGAACGCTCATAAAATCAAAATTACATAACAGAGATTACACATATAAAATATTTCAACACTTATTATTTATTTAAATACTTCTCACAGGGCGTGCCTTGCCAAACTACACGAAACCACTCTTTGATTGATTAATTAATTAGTCAATCAATCAATCAGGAATCGAACAATAATATAAAACTGTAGCAGATGAATTTAAGAGATATATTTAAATATATCATTAATTATGTGTACAATATAACCAATAAATGTATTCCCTGAATGTAAAAAGCAAATTGTGTTTGGATACTATTAACTTCTACAATAAAGATATACTGTTCATTCGTGATTTAGCAATCGCAACGTCTCGGTCCTTTCCGTCAAACTTCGGATAAGGAACGTATAATAGCCGAGATGTTCCTATTGGTGATTAAGGTGCAAGCGCTTCAAGGGCCTCTTCCGGGACACTGTCAATCACACGCCCCGTTTTCAGTGTCATTACAGTCGAGACGGCTTCCGAGTTCCCAAGACCGAATACAGGCCATAACGGTTCCGACATCTCGGATACAACGAGATTTTTAAACCGGAAGACAACTTTCTTATTTTTGACGTCGATAATTATCCAATGTCTGCGGTCCGCATCTAGAAGAAATCCGTAATATAAACGATTGAACGTTCCTGGAGGTGATTTTGTGCGAGGGCATATAGCCATGTGGGACAGGAGCTGACCGTTATGCCACGCCTGCAGACACACCTTCCCGCACACATGACAACCACGTGCGCTTATACTCCAAGCATATGGATGGCAGTCAACAGATGGGTGGCGATCGATGCATTCAAGCTTTGCAAGAGCTACCTCAAAAACGTGTTCTTGGCGAATCAACTTTGATATTTTGAAAACCACGCCCACTTCGAAATAGTACAACCCCGACTTCTGGAATGGGCGTGTTCCCATTGCACCTCGAAAAAGTGCAAATCTGCCTTGCTCTCGACCTGTTCTTCTCGTTGTGTTGCCTTTGTTCGGCTTAACCTTCATTGTCTTGCCATCTTCCAGAATTTCCACAATAGTACTGGATGTTGTAGAGTCAAAGAGAAACCCTGGGCCTGTAATAATTACATAAAGATCTATAGAGACAAACAAAAGTTGCTTAACGAACTGTACTCCAAGTAATGTGGAAACTCTTCTTTTCATAATTTGAACATAATTAACTTTGAGATCCAACATAGAACTTTGCTTTGAAAAAATATCTTTATTTTTTTAATATTTCTGAATATTTCATAATTTATTTTTGAATTTTGTGAATGTAAACTAACTATATCTCGGATACTGATATACATGAATATAAAATCAATATTTTTAATGCTTCTGAATATTTCATAATTCTTTTTTTTAAATTCGGTGAATGTAAAATAAGTATACATGTATATTTCGGTACACTATATACATGAATATTTACATGTATATACATTAGATTTACTTACACATGACGTCACCCAGCATGTGGTCATTGGCATGGGTCATATCATGTTCCTCCGACATTTCTACAATTCAACAAAAAGACACATAAAGAATGAATTTTTCATTTTACTTTACGTGCAAATCGTGCAACGTGTTTGATAAACTAATATGAAAAATGTTAATATATAACGGGAAAACAGAATTCCAAACGAAATTAACTTGTTTAGAAGAATTCTGACAGGCTATATGGCCCAGTATCAAGCAAATACAACCAAGCCACTTGACGAAAAATTATAATACTGCATATTTATTGACTTCAATTTAAATCAAATTTTAAAAAATCCCAAATTTGAAGAAGTCATGTTTATAAGATATATAGACGTTAATAAATAACATAATTATCGAAAGTACAGGCCTACAAAACATTTAAATGTAACTATTTTGTATCTAAGATATAAACACTCAAAACTCACCACTAGGTGTCGCTGTTCGAAGTGGACGGCTGTGTTGTTGATGATGACTATGATGATGTTGCTGATGAGTTTGATGATGGTGGTGGTGATGATGGTCGTCTTTTTCACCTACGAAATAAAAAGGATATACATAAACGAATGTTTAAACTACATTGTAGTTTTTAAATTATCTACAGTCAAAAGGTATTTTACAATTTCTAATGAATATTCATGGTGGACTTATCAGGTGACCAAATATTTTATCTAGACGCAAACGAGGTATCATTTTTGTACCTTTAAAGAAATTGAGAACCTCATGTTAAAATGTTGAAAGATCCTTGACTTATCTCAGAAATGTTCTTACGTTACCAGAAAAAAAATCCTAACGTTACTTTTTCCATGAATAGTGAAAATATACATGCTGTTTGTTGTTGTTGTTGTTTTTGATAAAAGAAAAGACATACGTGAAGCCAAATGTTAGGACATCAAATTATTATTACACGTATATCAAAATTGGTGCATTTATTTTTGAATTTAAGAATTGCGGGAAATGCAGTAGAAAAAAATGATGGGTAAAAAGTTATAGTTATATGTCACTAACACAGTTGAAATTCTGATAAAAAAATCCTTTCATGCAGAAGTCAAAATTGGGAATTTTAGAGTAACTTATAGGAACTATATGGAATACCATGAATAATACAATGCCTTTGAACTAATATTTAATAGAAGTCAAACTATGGAATACCATGAATAATATAATGCCTTTGAACTAATATTTCCTGGTATAAGTGATTTCATTGGATTCCCCTTTGTAATTGGAGTGAATTGAATTAAGGACAATAAAGTTAATGCAAACAGACGACTGGGCAATGTATGCTTATACTAAGGGGAACATATGTTTTGGCACATACCTATTTTACTGCGTTACCTTGACCATATGTATAAGAAAGAGTCGTTATATACTCATTACTGCAACTGCGATATTCCTTTTTAAATATCAATATAATAATCCTTAATTAAATCCAAATTACTCACGTAGATTCAGGCGATCAACGTGCATTGAGCTTGGCGTAGACACGCGAAACACGTGATCACTTGGCATTGGGTTGCCGTGTACGTAGACAGTCGCGCGGTGTTTACCCTTTGTTGTACCCATAAATATTGCCTTGTAACGTCCATCACCGGCGGTATTATCAACAACAGTAGCATTTCGTCGGCGCCCGGACGGGTCCGAAACTTCAACTCGTAGATCATCGCCACCTGGAAAGAAGATTAGATTTAATTCATAATTAGCTCCTTTTAATCATCAAAACTGAAAAATCTGACATTGCCGTCACATATAAAAAAGTATTTTGTCAAATAATAAAGAATTTTGTGGCACGTACATAGTCAGATTCAGGTATCCAGTCAATATATATGAAAACTCATGTTTTTAACGCATGTATTAAGAAATTTGCTCACATTGCGTTATTTGTAGAGCTCAGAAATTCTATCTAGATCTACTTTTAAATCTTTAAAATTAAAGTTGAAGATATGATAGCTATCTATTTCATATTAAAGTTAGATATATTTTGACTGTATCGGTAACGTATTTACGTTTAGCTTACCATCAGACTGTTGAACGCCATCACTATCAAATAGTGTAATGTTCATTATCGTCTGCTCGCGATCCCTGATGACGTCCTTCATATCCACGTGCGTGTTTGGTCCGTACGCAGATGTGGTCCAAATCTCGCCCATATCTCGAACGTGTTTATTGAAATCGTCACCAAGTTTCTTTCCTTTGAATTTCAGTTCGTCGTTGTCGTGTGGGATCGTATCAAACTCTTCATCGCGAAGAAAATTCAGACGGTCGACAATTGTATCTTTGAAAAATAGTAGCTCCGATTCGCTTCCGTACAGCGTGATATTTCCGGAAAATTCGTTTGCATCTTCCATACACGCGATATGAAAATTGATGCTATCCATCTGGCTGTCTAATCTCTTTTTCTTTTCTCTAATCCTAGCATGTGCATTGTCCTTAAGTTCAACTCGTCTGCGTTCGAGCGCTTTGATGGCGGCGTCGAAAGAAGAATCTATATTCGTTATCGTTAGGTGAAGGTTAGTATCTAGGCCATCAACTGTATTTTCAATCGAAGTCGCGGTGTCTTGTGCGGAAAGAGTACGGTGCTTCACATCAGACATTAGCCCTTCAATTGTTCTCCGGACATCTCCGTAAACTTCGTGAATATCTCGGATGTCATGACCTTTTGACTCTTGGTGTTCTGCGACTGCGCACAGAGCGCATACCGGATGGTCGCACGAATCCGACATGCAGTAGAAGGCGTATGGTTGTTCCTCGTGACCTGCAACGTTACAGTAATGTACTTGTTGGAAATCATCAAGTGGAGCTTCTCGTAGCTCATCAAGACCAAGGATGTGGTGTCGTTTGGTAACTTTAGTACGTCCGTGCGCATCATTACAGTCTGCGCATAGAAACTGCGCACATTCTTTGCATCTATATTGAGAAAGACGTGTAGTATTCTTGCATTCTTGGCACGTAATCTCTGGGTTCCTAGCTTGTACCTTAAACATGAATATTTAAGGATTAAGAAATTAATATATGTAGTATAAATTGTTTTGACTGAAATTTTATACAAAGGGCTTTCCATAAAAAAGCAGCGCTTTGTAGATTGAACCAAGTTTGCTGATATGAAAATTCGGTCTTTGTATGGCAATTTGTTAATATTTATGAAACAGAAACAGAAATGAAACTTTGTCCTCATCTTTAAAATGTTTATGTACAATAAAATCAAGTAATAGGTAGGATATCTCTGATAAATTGTATGCTTTTATAGAATATGTTTGATTTCGCTAACATTTTCTTGCGCAACAGCACTATATACTTTTCTAAATTTTCAAAAAACGTTTAATTTGCCAGGACGTAAACAATTAAATACATTGTTATTTGTAAATACCCTATTATGATTGGCAAGGAAAAGTCTTGTTTCGTCTGGTCGGAATTGTTCAAGGTCACCATTCGGAACATTATGACGTATATCGCACGTTGGACACTTTACGGTACCACGTGTCGCAGTTGACTCTAGGCACGAGATGCACATCGCGTGCAGGCATGGCAGAACACGTGGCACTTGTAAGAAGTCATTGTAGTTCTTGGAACATTCTGGACATTCCGTATATTGTTGTCGGATTACTTCCGGGTGAACAGACTGCTTTACATTACTCGCCATAATTTTCCTGTAATTATTGAAACAGTGGATTTCCATAAATGAAAGAAAGATTTACCACCAATCAAGCAAATATTTTTATTTTCTAAATTCATATGATGAATAGATAGAGGCTATTGAACTAATGTACATGTAGGTTTCATGTGAGTTGAATGAATTCAACGAGTTCAATAATTTAGCAATATAATCATCCCTATTGGCGCGTATGATAATACCCGCATTTAACGTACGTTAAACGCTGTTTTTGCACACGTCAAAATATATTTTTCTCGGAGCACGCGAGACATAAATTGTATCATCATCAAAATGGCCATCATTCATTGATATATTCGTATTGATGATCGGAAGAGTTTTAAACGTCAGTGGAATTGATTCTAATTACCACAATGCACAAACTTACGTATAATTATTTTCGGATTTGTTTCCGTTTTTCCGTTTAACCCTGTTTCCGTCAATTGAGTACGTATAAGCGGTATCTACCGGGATGTTTCTAGAATCTGCAGCTAGTTCTAACGGTGGGAGTTTTCTAGGTTTAGGCTGCGCTAAGCCGACGGGTTTTCTGAAATAGTTGTTTTCTGTGGGTTGTGAATAATTGTGTGCGGCTCGTTTCGTACTGGCGTCAATTGTCTGCTGAATAGTTTTTTTCTTGGATTTGGTTTCACCTAGGCCTGGTCCAGCGGATTTTGCGTTTAAATCATCCACCTTGCCGTTGGTGTTAGAATCCCCTGCAAAATTAGCATGAGTTTGTCCCATTCAACGAGCGAAACAAAGTTTTTACTTTTCTATTATTAAGTACAATGTATGTTTAATTTAACATCTTCCATCGCTATTTCTTAAAACATGAATGTCAAATTAATGAAATTGTACATTGGTAATACACAAAAAACACTAATTTCCAATTTTACTAAGTTTCGTACGAACATTAAATCAGCGAAAATATCACTTAGGCTGCCATTTATACAGATGTCGAGAAAAAAATGAATAATATATATGCTACTTACGCGCTATATATGCAGGTTATATATCCCCTTCACCTACATTTCCTTGCCAAAAAATCATACAATATTAATACATTGTTAACTCTTGTTCGTTTGTTGAATCAAAACGTAAGAAATGAAAATTAGAAAACTTTTGTTTTTGTTCATTAATACGGTTTTACACAATATTGATTTTCAATGATCATTGAATATAAATAATAGACCTTTACGGGCATGGTTTTATGTATTGTTTTACTGACACTAAATGCCGTTCTTTTTTGTGAAGTTTATGAAAAATCGGTCGATATGTAAAATGATCATGATTGTATTCCTTAATGTATAATTTTTTTATTTACAAAAGAATCAGTTTCTAAAACATTTCTTTATTTCATGTCCAGACTCAACTTTTTGGAATTACCAGGAATTGAAGCCGATTCTAGTTATAAATTTATCCTATTATAGGAGGGTACTTTTATAAAGGGAGCAAACTATTGCATTACATGATCCAAATTCCTCGCAACGGTTATTTCCCTTTACAAGTACACTACGCCGAAGAATTACGGGAAGATAACTGCGTGGAAATTGTACATGACCTAGCAAACAGCAGGGGAAGTAACCGGCTTATCAAAAGTTAAATCTATAGTCAGGGAATCGAATGAACGTTGTTACGCACATTTCTTATCGTTAAATTAATTGTGAGTGAATTCTACCTCATGACCATATTGTGAAAAATGGCCGTTGTCATTGAAAAGCCTCCTGTTACAAGTTCAAACTGCTATGAAACTATGAAAAATGTTTCAATACTAATCAAACTTGGCACACATGTTGACTGGACCATTGCATCTGTAACGACATGCTCAGTCTTAAATTTCCTGTTACCATGGCAACGAGGGGACGTCTCAAAATTACCAAAAGTCACTATTTTGCCTCGATTTTTTTCATCAAAATTTATTTCAAAGTGCTGTAACTTCTCAAGGGATTGGGATAGAGTCAAAGGCTTTTCAGCGTTGGTTACACGTTATCTTATGATCGACCTGGGGCCATTTTTAGCCTATCACAAGTCCAAAATTTTCTTGGCGATGAGGGGGACTACCGCCCCTCCAAACCCCCCAAACAGAAGGGGGGATTGGAAACCCCCTGATGTATCTTTTGGATGGAGGCGGCGCCGAAAAAGTGCTCACTTTTTTAGCAACATTTCTCAAACCAAAACATGTATTTGGGGCCCAAATAAAAGAGGGGGGGGGGGTCGAAAGTGCGTTGTTTCGCGTATATATGAGGTAAAGGGTTAACAAAAAATGATGAAAAACTTTAGAATTACCCAAAATCTAGTTTTTCCATGTTAACATTTGGTCTTTTACCTAATTTTGTTGAAAAATTGTTTTGTTACATTTTTCATTTTGTTAGTTAAGTTACCAGTGGCTTTGTGATAATGACTTGAGATTTGACTTTTACGATTATCGTGAGTCAAAATTGCAAGATCTATTATGAAAATTTCACAGTGATTACCTCGCTTGGCAGATCTCTGTACTGATAAGGAGAGATCACTGCGTAGGAGATTGCTGAGGTAACTTAGCTTGATCAACATCAAAGCGAGGGGCGGTTTATACTTATACTATGCTCAAATTTGATATTTGAAAATATTGTTAATTGCTACACAGTCTCTTTTTGTGTATAAAATAAATATGTTTTGACTTTACGTTAACTCTACACACTATAGGTGGACACAGTATAAATATAGAATGCCATTAAAAAACTGGCAGTCTTTTTAAACAAAGGACCAACTTTACTTATGAACGCAGCTTCCCGTGCATAATTTATACATTCTTTTTATTCAAATAAGACATATTCATAGAGAATTTCATAGATTTAATAAGTTGCTGCGATTAGAATATTTTATGTACAACTGAGCAAAGTGTATCTTTAAGAATAAACAAACTAATTGTTCAATAAATAAAAAGAAGTCCTTTTTTTCATATTTTATTTCATCAATTTCCAATGACGTCACATCATTATGATGCAAACAAACACCCACAATGTACAAAAATATCGCCGCTCATTTTCGTATTCAATTATTAACAATAATATTAAATATCACAAGACTTGTGTCATGTGCAACTATACAGAAGCAATTAGAAAAAAATGATCACTTTTTTCCCATTCTGTCCTTCAGAAAATATTACAAATATTTTCGTCATTAAAGCATGGGGTAGAAATTACCCTCAAACCCGTAAAGAAGAAAAAATGATCATATGGGATCCACCTAGTATAGCATTAAAAAAAATCATTTCAGGAATATATACTTGACATTGTATATTAATTAACTAAAACAATAATATTTAAAAAATAACAAACTCCATATTTTAAATATTTCCAAAAATATTGTTATTTTTAAATTATATTATTTTATTTATTTCAACAATGCACAAGGAACATCCATCACGTTTTACTATATTAATTAATATATATACCTGAAAAAATATAGCTTTTTCTCATACACAGATAATTTAAAAGTGGCTTTTTATAAATATTAGTTATAATTAAGCTTACTTGCAGCTGAGATAAAAATACGGTAGTCAAATATCTTTATTCTCTATGTTCAGCTCTTTACATTAGACCTATTATTATTATCACTACTACTACAGAATGTCAATTGTTATTGTTGAAAGTATTTAAATAAATAATATCAATGGTATAATATATTTATATCATAAAATGTCTTCTAGATGAAAATGTCATTCCTTGGAAATTTAAACTCAACATGATCTCATTCATGGAAGAAAAATCCTAAGAACATAGCAGAATTTATTTCTCCTTTAATCATGTATTCAGATCTTAATCATTGTAGTAGACGCTTTGTTTTACACCTTATTCAATAAGCTTTTAATTGATATGATTATCTGATACGATCAAATGGCACATGAATTTCAAATAAGCATTTAATTTGACATTTACTTTTTTAAGAAAGGCTCAAATCTCAAGTCTTTAAAGTTGCACACACCCAGATGAGCAAACAAACAATTTTGTCAATAAATTACATTTCTGGAAAAATAAATTACAAGTTTAAACAATAAATAGTCAAAAATCCACATTACACTTTACATGTAAATGCACATTAGGAATCAATTTACAATCTAATCACCATATTTCTACCCCATTTTTAACCCTTTACATGCTGGGAAAATTGTCATCTGCTGAAATATTGTCTGCTTTATTTTTGAATTTTACCATGTTTTTCTTGAAAATAAAAAACAACAACATTTATGTGTGATTATCAAACAACTTGGTACCAGGCAAAACATGGTGGTACTCAGCATCTGGCCTGGTACCAAGCTGATAGCAAAGGCTATTGGTACCTCAATCTTGAGGTCAAACGTTAACAGAGTAAGAATTATATCTGCATATTTTGACATGACTTATACTACAAGCACAAATAAAATTACGTGAATACTTAATACTTCTAGCATATATTACTTGAATTTCTCCACTCATCCATGAATATATAGTAACTTTTTCAAAATGCTTATTTAAATTTTCATAAAAAAAATCAGCATTTTGGTTTCACATTTTAAATAAAGCACAACATTCAATATCACAAATTCATAATCAATCATTAATCAAGAATATGAATATATATAGATGCACACAATGCTTACAGAAATTATGAAAGCAAAACATTGTGATGTAAGAGCAGAAAATTAGGTAATCAAATTACTTACATATTATTGGTTATAACAGGAATACTTGTAATTTGAATGCAAAAAAGATGTAGATGACGTACCAAAGGTCTAACATTTAAATGAACAAAATATTTAATAATATATGTTCATAAATTCAAACGACCTTAGTTTACAAGCTGCTGACAGTCTATTTTCTGATGCACTGTGTAAGTTCAAAATGTGCCTAATAACATATGTTCATAAAGTGTCAAAATATCTTTGTTCATAAACTGTCAAATGTTCACAAATTGTCCAATGGCACATATTAACAAATAATCACATGACAAAATATTAATATGTTAAAAAATTGTCAAATGGCACATGTTTACATTACGTGAAGAATTTGTCAAATGGTCTTGTTTTATAAAAAATTTCAACATGATGTTTTATTTTTAAAAAATACAACTAATGAAATATTTATTAAAAACATTTACAGCAGCATCTATTTGTAGTCATTTTACTAAAATAAACACACATACAACTATCATTCTATAAATAGATAACACTGTTACGATTCACTTTACATGAACCACGGTTGTAATTAAAGCCGTCCTGGTAAACGTCATTCTTTATTTGCATGTTTCACAAGTTATTTTCTTTTTATCGTTACCATAAACGGCAAATCAACAATATTATCATACAAATATATCGGTTACAACACCTCTTATTTTGTATCAATTAACCTTAATTACCTTTGTCGCGATCACGAGGTGTTAAAAACATGCGTCGCCGACTGTCATTTATTTAGGACATACCAACTTGTCTCTTTGTGTTCGACCGAAAAGGTGTGATTTTCACTATATTTCTGCCGAAGGGACCAGAGATCAGGTTCGAGAGTTCGAGCGATCGGTGTTCGAGCGATCCGAGGTAGAACAATATATATTATATAGGAATTTTGCCGGGACTGGGCGATGAGTTCGAGCGAAGGGAGGTATTCGAGCGATCCGAGTTCGAGCGAACGAAGTTTAACTGTATTAACAAATAATCACATGACAAAATATTAATATTTTAAAAAATTGTCAAATGGCACATGTTTACATATGTGAAGAATTTGTCAAAT